ACTCGGCAACCTGGATAGAAAAGGAGCCTAAAAGAACTAGCAGCAGGTCCAGCCAGAGGAGGGCTTGGTTTGGAGATTGATGTAGTTCCCCTGGGTGGACAAAGACATTACATCTTCTCTGGAATTGTTCATCATCTTTTCAACGAGGACTCTTTTAAAAAAAGAAAAAAAAAAAAAAAGAGAGAGAGAAATAAGCCTGAGAAGGTAGCTGGAGAAGAAGGTGATGCGGCAGGCACTGTCTCATCACCAGGCAGCCCTCCACGAAGACACCAGACTTAAGCACCCCGCATCCTCAAGTATCTTAGGGAGGCTGACATTCCAGGGGCTTGATCTGTACTTGTTTGATCAAAAATCAGAAAAGAGGGCCCATGGAGCCACGGTGGACAGTAAATCTGTGTGTCTGTCCCCAGAACACTAAGAGCTACTCACCTCATGGCTTCATTAATATTTCTGTTCTCCTTGACTGACGTTTCTGTCCAACCTGTGAAACCGTTCTCTTTACTGAACCGGTCAATCTGGTCCCGGCTCACTGCCCAAGGCGACAGATCACTCTGACAAAGAAAATATATAAATGGCAACACCATAACCTTCATGGAAACTGAGCATTTAGAACAATTTCCAGCCAATGGCTGAGGCCACCAACATCTAAAATCTGCAGCCAAGGTTCTTCCTTTAAAACAAGAGTCACTCTCAGGAAAGTTGAGTTGGCTTAGCAGTTAAGAACACTGACTGCTCTCCCAGAGACCCAGGTTCAATTCCCAGCACCCATATATTAGCTGACAATGCTCTGTAACTCCAGACCCACAGAACCTGACATTGTCTTCTGGCCTCCTTGGGCACCAGGCACACACATGGCATACAGACATACATGCAAGTAAAACACACCCCACACAAAATAGAAAGAAAGAAAGACAGACAGACAGACAGACAGACAGACAGACAGAAAGAAAGAAAGAAAGAAAGAAAGAGACAAACAAACAGAAAGTCACTTTCTCAATATTGCTTCAAAAGAAAGCAGAGGTGAATGCCAACTTGAAAGGGGCAAACCAGGCATGCCGGCATGCTGATGGCCAGGCACTGGGGCACTAATTATAGCATTTGAGCAACAGAAGCAGGACTGTCAGTTTTAGGCTAGCCTTGGCTACACAGACTCTAGCTTAAAACAAAACAAAAACAAAACAGGATGTACATGCTCAGAAACACAGGGCCTTTTAGATACCTTTACTCTAGTGACTGACAGGTGCCAGGGGCCATTTACTTAAACTGGCCACACACCTTGTTGGCCAAGAGCAGGCAGGGCACAGGCTCTCCACTGGGCAATGTGAGCTTGCTGTCCAGATCCTGTTTCCATCTTTGGCTGTTGCTGAAAGTAGTGGCATTGGTGACATCAAACATAATAACACAGGCAGAAGCATCTCGGTAGTATAGTCGCGTCATTGAGGTGAAACGCTCCTGCCCTGGAGGGAAGGAAGAGAAACCTCTCAAAAGGTGTTTCTGGGACGGGCAGTGGTGGCACAGGCCTTTAATCCCAGCACTTGGGAGGCAGAGACAGGCAGATCTCTGTGAGTTCGAGGCCAGCCTGATCTATAGAGTGAGTTCTAGGACAGGCTCCAAAGCTACAGAGAAACTCTATCTCGAAAAACAAAAACAAAAAGGAAAAAGGGGGTGATTCTGAAAGTGAGCACCCTCTCTGATATCCTCTACTCTCCCTTCACTGGAGGACAGGGTGTTTTTGTACATGGTAGACCCTGCCTAGCCCATTAAAGGTTACTAACTTCGGTCACTTCCACTGCAGATTCTGTCTCCAAACTGCAGCGCCCACATCCCTGTCTGCCACTTACTATCTGTGCAACTTTAAGAAGAGCAGGCTGAGCGCTTCAGATCTGTCAGGTGCCGAGTAAGAGAAACGCTTTCACGACAGAGTCAGTGAACCAGTACATCAGAAATACTCTGGAGAACAGTATAGACTAAGGATCCACCATTATCACTGTCTTGTTTTCTGGAGATCTTGCTTCTCACTAAAGTCAGCTGAAGATTTAGAGCCCACCCTCCTACCAGGGGAGCCCACCCTCCTACCAGGGGAGCCCACCCTCCTACCAGGGGAGCTCACCCTCCTACCAGGGGAGTATCTACCATGGGACAATCTGCCACCTTAACAGCATCTCCACCCACACAGAGATGGTGGGGCATCTTTGTCTTTGGGGCAATATGCTGCCAAAATCATCTCAAAAGCTCAGAGAAGCTCAAACTTGTAGCTTCAGGGAGGAAAAAAAAAAGGTGTCAGTTTTGCCATCCCATTTCCACCCTACCTCCACCCGACCCCAGGCAGTTTACTGGCTAAATAATTTCTTCCCTTGTTCCCATCTGGTCTTCCCATTTTACCTGCAATATCCCAAAGTTGAAGCCGCACCATCTCTGAGTCAGACCACTGGAGAACCTTCAGAGCAAAATCCACTGAAAATACACATATTTTACTTTAATTAAGTCTGCCTTTAAACAAATCCAGGGGTGGGCCAGGGAGATGGTTCTGTGGGTAAGCTAAAGGGACTTTTGCCAAGCCTGTCAACCCAAGTTCAGTGCCCATAACCTAAACCTTACAAACCATCCTCTGACTTCTACATGTATGTCATGATACACATGTTCATGCATACATACACACACAAAATTTTTTTTAATCCAGGGATAAGATCAGATTAAATACACAAAGACAACCCCTGAATCTTAAAACTCCATTTAGGCTTAAGCCTTCAGTTGGGGGAGAGGAGTCCACACGGCGGGTAAGCGTAGGACACACAATTCATACTCAAAGGATATTCAGGGTTTTGGCCTCTATCAGATCAAGTTATTTGATACTAATTATCCTCATGGCTAGGAATAGGAAAGGCTATGGGAATAATTCCTCTTCTTAGGTTAGATGGTTTCTGGAAGTTTTCAGGGGTTTTTCTCAGGGAAACGGTAAGGGTGACAAAGGAAATGGGTTAAGTTAAACAATGTTTTTGTATCTTCTACATTCAGCTTCACTGTTGGTATCTGAGCAAATAGTATAACGAGAAAACACAACAAAAGACTCTATGTCGTCCGTAAGACTTTGGTAATTACGTCAGGCAGGAATTGGATAACTGAAAAGGTTCCAGAGGACGAAGTATAAGAGCTATGCGGGAATCTGCCAGCTGGCCAGTTGTGTAGCTCAGGCTAGCACCCACTTATCTTCCTGAGCGTGGACTGAAAGGTACAGAAAGCCATGCTGGGCTTGAAAAGCTGGTCGTCAAGGAGAGGAACAGAGTAACTTTAGTTTGGAAACATATTCTACATCTTTGACAGAAGTAAAAACCAGGGAGAATTTATAATAATAAACACTGGGAGACAAACCAGCAAACCCAAATTTTCCAGAGTCAATTATATTCATACTGTAGGAAAACGCAGTCTTTGAAATGTTAAGTAAACCCTTAATTTTGCCAGATACTTTTGAAAAATTAAAATGTTTTATATATGTGTGTGTGTGTCTGTCTGTCTGTCTGTGTGCCTGCTCATGCCACAGTGCTTCCATGGAGGTCAGAGGACAACTTTGGGGGTCTCTTCTCTGTCCCTCTTGTGGGGCTGGGGACTCAGCTCAGGCAGTCAAGTTGGCATAAAGCACTGTTACCCTCTGAGTCATCTCTCCCGTCCTTTGCCAAATACCCTTTGAAGTTTTCATTTCAAAGTAAATAGCTAATTAAAAACAACTTTCATATGAACACTGGTGCACACTTTCAAAATCTATATTGGTACAAGCTTTAAATAAAAAATTTAGTTTTTATTTTAGATTACTCTTTCACATCAGCACCTCGTTAACTACCTTCTACTTGTAGTGGTGCAGGGATGGGGGTGGGGGGCGGGGGTGGTTCCCTTCAATTAAGTTCAAAGGCCACACTAGGAAAGAAATTAATTAACTTTTGGTGTTTCTTTCTGTCCTCCCCTCCCTTCCCCAGCGTTAGAGAAGAAGGGTGGAAAGATAGGCCACTCGGGGTGTAGTTCACATTCTTTCTTGAATTCCTCACATTTCCCACGAAGTCCACGAATTATCTTTATTAGAGCAACCCACAGGGCTCATCAGTCCTAACCAGAACCTGTTCCCCAATTTCCCCACATCTGCTCCTCTGAGTGCCTAACTCCTGGGCTCTGCTCCTCAACACAGTCCCATGCCGGTGAGAAACAGAGCAACCCTCCCCAGCCCGCATTTGAACCCGGGCTCAGCTGCCTCCGCTGATTGGAGAAGTTAATTAATTGCTCGGGGAAGCTCACGGCTGCAGGAGAGTACAGCTGGCTGCCGTGAACAGCCCTACTCAGACCCCTCCACCTTCTCCATCTCTCTCACTTTTACGCTTTGGCCATTGCAGGCAGACAGCGCAGGTTGGGACACCCCCCCCCCCCCCCCCCCCCCCCCCCCCCCCCCCCCCCCCCNCCAAAGACGACCCCAGTACCTAGCGACTACCCGCTGCAAGCCCCGATGCCTGCTCCCGGCCGCCCGCGGCCTCTCACCTCCCACGGTGGACTTGTAGTGCTTGCTGAAGCTGTCCTGGGAGTAGCGCTGGACCAGTGACGTCTTGCCCACGGCGGCGTCCCCCACCACTAGCACTTTGAACAAGTGATCTCGGCTGCCCATGGCTAGCGGTGGGGAGAGGAGTTTTTTGTTGTTGTTGTTGATTTTTTGGGAAGTCGCTTATTTTGAGCCCTTGGGCTCACCCCGAGTTTTCTTCCGACTGAAGTCATGCATCCCCACCCTGTCTAGCTGAAGCTGTTCAGAAAAGGAAACTTCTGCACTCGGCCTCTGCGCGCTTCCTCCCCGCGCTGCCGCAGCCAGGGTGGGGCGCGTACGAGCTCGACCCCCTGCGGTTGGCACCTTCCCGTCAGGGACCTCCAAGCAGCTCGCCCGCGCGTGAACCCTACTGGCACCTTGCTCCACCCGCTAGGTACAGAGGACCTGGGCCCTTCTCTGACCGCACACACCAAATTGGGGGTGTGCAGAGTCCTTGTCCGGTCCCTGTCCTGCCACCGGCGGCGCACTTCCCGTCTTCCTTCGCCAGCCTTCTGTGCCCAGCTGCTGGGAGCACTACATTTCCCAGTGTACCTTTTGGTGAAGAGGCCGGGAGAGTGTGGTGAGTTGCCGAGTGGACTCTTGGGAAATGTAGTTTCATAGCTACCTTGCGCAAACGTACATAAAGTTTTCAAACTTTAAAACATTCAGAAATCTATTTTAAAACAAGTCTAAAATTCGGAGTGGTGGCGCAGGCTTGTAATCTTTGCCTTGGGGAGATGGAGAGAAGAGGATCAAAAAAAAACCCCCCAAAAACAAAAACCCAAGGTCATCATCTGCCAGGATTCCCCCACCCCTTCCTCTCCCGGAGACAGGAGGCAAGGCGTTTTTTGAAACAGCTTGGTATGTGTGGGTGTGGGTGTGTGTGTGTGTGGGGGAGAGGGGAAGCCTGAACTACACAGGCCATGATCTCGCCTGTCTAAATCTTTCCCCTAATGTTTCAAAATCATATTTTAAAGGTTTCCAGATGGTTTTTTTTAATCACATTTTTAAGATTTTATGACACTAAAATAAACCACACCATTAATAAAAGAGTAAACATCATCCCTCATGTCCCAAGTGGAGTCCATTTCCTCCATCTCAACGACACAGTCAAATCTCGAACCTTGGAAATGTGTTTTCCCTATGACCAATAACAAGCAAATTTATGGGCATCTGATGCTATAGCAATAGCAACACAGAATAAGCAAGAGACAGTTCCTCATTCAGACTTCCACATTTCTTACAGCAGCCATGAATATTATTTGAACACAAGGTCATTTCCTTTTGTTGCTACTATTGTTTCTGAATAATCATAAAATAATTGGCAAATATTTTTAACTTTCCTCTCTGTAATTTTTCTGTCCTGCCCCATCTTTAGATAGGATTTGTGACTGGTAGAAATTGCCCTCAACTACCTACGTATAACTTTACATTTGTGATTCTTCTGTAGCCAGTTTTATAGTTTTGGGGATTAAACCCAGGCATATCCCCAGCCCTCTTCTTCTTTTCTTTTTCCTTTTGACAGAATCTCTGTAGTCAAGCCTGACTTTGAGCTCCTGATCCCCTTGGCTTCTGTCTCTGCTTCTTCCCTTTCCCAGGAGTACACACCGTGCCCAATGTGGGGTAAGGGAGGCAGGTCTCCTCCACCATTCTCTCTCTTCCCCCCTTTGCAAAAAATAAAAACTTGGAGTTAGTATACAAATTAATACCTTTCATGGCAACATTCCCCCTACACATACATTGACGTTTTCCTGTTCTAATCACTGGCTTTGCCAGCCTTCTCTCCTCCACTCACATTTAAAGGATTGCATGTTCTCAGTTCCCATGCTTTGACATAGTTCAGCACCCTCTGACATTTATTGCCATGTGGCTTCTGTGATGCTGTTCCCTCTTTTTTTCCAATCCCATGTCACTTTTTAAAATTCTTTGCACGGATCTCTAATGTGGGGATTTCCCTCTGTATGCTGTGATTACCATTAATGAATAAAGACACTGCTTTGGACCTATAGCAGGGCAGAACTTAGCTAGGCGGAGAAAACTAAACTGAATGCTGGGAAAAAGAAGGGCGGAGCAAGGAGAAGCCGTGTAGCCCTGCTGGTGATAGACACGAGACACAAGACACCAGAACTTTACTGAGTAAGCCACTGCCACGTGGTGATACACAGATTAATGGAGATGGGATATATATATATATATATATATATATATATATGTAGAGCTAATGGGCCAAGCAGTGTTAGCTGGGAACCAACAATGGCCCTCCTCCAACAGATCTCTCCATCCTATCCCCTTTAAGTATTTCCTAAGGATTAATTAACTCTTGGTCTCTGGGTTGATTATTCTATATTAAGAGAAAAGCATATTTCTCTTGGCTTCAAATATATCTGTCTTCACTTCTGAATGAAAAGAAGAAATAAAAGAGAAAGATAGGCATGGGGGAGCAGAAAGTTTGTTATGGATATGTGGGAGAAATAACCTGGCAGCCAGGTCTGCTTTGTTATGTTAAATAGGCACCTTGTTTGTCCCTGGTTTGGAACTTAACAACTTTGTTGTTTACCTCCAAACAGTTCTGTTCAGTATTGAGAAAGAAAGATATCTCCACTTGGGCAAATCCATCACAGCCTTCCTTCCACTTAGACATCACTGCAAAAATAGCTCCTTTCTCAGCCTCATCATTTCTCTCCTCCATGTAGACTTCATATTTTGAGCATTATTAATTCTTTTTATCTACGTTCATTTACCTCAATCCCTCCTTTTCACAAATCAATTACCACATCCTGATTCTTAAATGTTTCTCAGGGATGCCTCTGGGAATCCAAACCAATACAGGTTGTTGATTGATTAGCAGAACTAGACGGTAGGACCCCATTTGTGAAGACACCACATGCTTTGATTGCAGTGCACAGAGAAATCAAGCTGGAACTGAACCGGAAGCTTCTCTGCTAAGCGGGACTACACAGGCTGCTGGAGGCGGGTGGTCATTGATGGTGAACTCTGTATGTGTGCTACACTCAACTTGCCAGCAAGATGTGTCCAGTGGCGCACTAACGGGGTGACTATGGAGGGGACAGCCAATCACTTTTATTTTTAAACGTGTGTTTAATGTTATGTATATGAGTGTTTTGCCTGCATGTATGTCTGTGTATCATGTGTGTGCTGGTGCCCACGGAAGCCAGAAGAAGGCACAGGATCCCTTAGGACTATGGTTATAGATGGTTATGAGCCTTCAGGTGTGTGCTGGGAATCGAACCTGGATCCTCTGGAAGGGCAACAAGTATTCTTAAATACTAAGTCATCTCTCCAGCTCCCTGCCCCACCCCCTAAAATATTTTTTAATTGAATTTGAGGCCAGCTTCCTAATAGAGTATTCACGTCCCTTTCTGTAAACTTTGTCAAAAGCCTGTGGCTGGAAAGACCTAAGTAAGACCTAGAGGGGAAGCTACTACTGTTTTTGTTAAATGGGTGAGTTGTGCCTGTCAAACAGCCTTCTAAGTGTTTATATTTATTCCCATAGATGAGTGCTGTCAGTATTGGCATGAGAAGCTTCTTCTGGTAGTCGTTAAAGATCCACTGCAGAGATCTCCTAACTGGTCAAAGTGCTGAGAAGAAGTGACTCAGCCCTAACATGGGAATGCCCATCTTACCCCACCCAAGGCTCGGGGAACATTGTGGAAGAAACACTAGGAAGAATATAAAACCAAAGGAAGAGGTAGGTGGGGTGTTGTGTAATTCTGTCTTCTGGCTGTTGCGTCCATGAACACATGAACAGCAGCTGTGACCCTCTGCATAAGACTTTCAGAGACTGGGCTCTTCACTAGTCCGTCACGGAATAGGGAGGGACTCAGGAAGCCCTCCATTCCCTGAGGAATTGGCAATTAATGGTGACAGGGGAGAGACAATTTGTTTGTTTGTGACTGGGCCTCTTGTTATATAGCTCTGGCTGTCCCGGAATGCTCTGTGTAGACCAGACTAACCTTGCACTAAGGGAGATCTGCCTCCTATTCCTGAGTGCTGGGATTAAAGCCAGGCATGCGCCACCATGCCTAACAAAAGGCTTTTTCTTTCTTCAGTGGTGTAGCCACTGGTAAATTGCCGGTGCTCCTGTAACTAAGTTCACTCATGCTCTGTAAGCAACCCCAATTCAACTCACTGGGGGCACTGTTCTGGTAAAGCTCCTCCTCCCCCATCTCTCCGCAAACCCTGCCTCATCTTAGAAAGGCTGCCAAACACGGCTCCTCCCCCAGAGATGCTCAAGATCACTCCCACAGGGTATTTAAACTGCATCCCTGAAAAAAGACATGTTGTTTTTCCATCTCTCTTCCCTGTCTTCTCTCTTTGGGGCTGGAAAATCATCTGGGAATGTTTTACGCATTAAACCTGGGTTTTTCCTAATTTGGTTTGCATTGGTCTGTTTTGGATTCTTTCTGGAGGGCTGTCCTTCCAAGTCAAGGCTGGAAGATAGCCTTGATCTCTGGAGTCTGGCCACTATGATGACAGTGAGCCTCAAAACACAAATTTTGCAATAACTTACTAGAATACAACACCTCTACCTAGATATCCACTCAGCCCATCATCCCTCCCCAAATGTGCACTGCCCTTGGTCTAAAATGAATACAGCATCACGGTTTTTTTTGGGGGGGGGGGTTCGAGACAGGGTTTCTCTGTAGCTTTGGTGCTGGTCCCAGAACTAGCTCTTGTAGACCAGGCTGGCCTCAAACTCCCAGAGATCCGCCTGCCTCTGCCTCCTGAGTGCTGGGATTAAAGGTGTGCGCCACCGCTGCCTGGCAGCATCACGCTTTTATCATTTCTTTGGCCTTCACACTCTTGTTCTGTTGGACTAGAAGTCCAAACATCATGGAAGAGTTGCTCCAGACACCACTCACATAACCACAAATTGATGCAAAAGCAAGAGGATTTTTATTCTGTCATGACAGGGTCCTTCAGGTTCGGGATATGAAGGACAACGATAGCTGTTACAGTCCATCTTTTAAAGCAAAAAGCCACAGACAAAAGGGGGGTGACCTGTAGGTTGTTTTCCAACTTATTGGATTGGCTTATTCAAAGGGTTACTAGCAGTGATTGGTCTATTCCATGTCAGGAGCCATTTCCCCCCTAAGAATCATTACAGGAACCATCATCCTGGGGAGTCTGCAGAGAACCTCACACCCATAATTATGTTCTATTGAGAAAACCTGCCCCACACCCAATTAAGCTGTTGATAGAGAGCTATCTGTTAGCAGAATACGCCTCACATTCCAGCTACCCAGGGGACCAGGTGTGGCAACTTGTGACTTCCTGGCCTACTTCCTGACCAAGCTAAGTGACCAGGACCATGCGGCGAGATCCTGTGCCCTGCCCCCCATTCCTTACCATATATAAACTGTAACCCGTCCCTAATAAACGGAGGCTTTGACAAATTTGCTTGGCCTCCTTCTTCTGTCTTAGCTCACTCCCTTCCAGGTAGCGCCCCTCCGAGACCCTGGAGTAACTTGATTGCGGGGTGGGTTACAACCCCTAGACTGAGTAGCCCACCCCAACGCAATCCACAATCCCAGGGCAGGAGAATAGCTGCGTGGTCAGGTGATAAGGGAGAGCATCTGTGGTCCATCCTGACCTTTGGTTCAGTGACTAAACCAACATATCAGGAACTGAGTCAACATCTATGGGTTGTATTTGCCTCAATTCCCAAAATGGAGTTACGTTTGAAGATTATTCTCAAGGACACAGGGGGATGAGCAGTCCAGCACGTGGTTATTTACAAGGACACAAGCAGATAAGCAGTCCAGCATGTGTGTGTGTGTGTGTGTGGGTGACTGTCCAGTTTTCAAATGTTAAGATGCTTCAGGAAATGTCTTTAGAGCTGAGAGGCCTCAGAAATGCATTTAGAGTCTTTCAGTTCATGTAAATGTCTTAGCATTCCTATGCTTTACTTTTTGTTAATTAGCTTTTATACAAAGCAGGCTCCCAGATAGGGCCAGAGCTATTGTTGGAAACCCCAGTGGTACAGCTGGTTAGCAGAATTCACACAGAGCTAAGGCCTGTAGAGCGGATGCATCTTGCCCACACGGGAGCACTCCACTGACCTGTTTCACTTGTCTTCAGGATCTGAGGACTTGTGCAGTAATTTGTTTGTTTGCTCTTTAATTCATCCCATGAAGCTTCTCCAAAACATCATTGTTTCTTCATTGTCTACTGACTATCTTTCCCAGACTGACCAATCATCCCATAAATACTCAATGTCTTCTATGCACATGGTCCACCCTCTTAACCAACTTACCAACTTTGTCTAGTATGGTCTTAAGCGGGAATTGCCCTCCTCCCAATTTTTTGTCTTTTATGTCCTCTCCTTCTCCTTCGTTTTTTATAGTGCCCTGTTATGAAGCCCTGGACGAATCAGGAACTCACAGCAATCCTATGCTCCAGTCTCCAAACGCTGGGATTACAAACCTAAACTACCACAGAAGGCTCATCTCACACCCCCTTCAGGGTTTCACCTTTTCAGATCAGTCTGTTGGATTGAACCTGGAGCCTTCCATGCAATAAGCAAGCACTCTACCATGAAGCCTCTAACAACCCAGGTCCAATTTTGATTTTGTATGTATACCTACGAAGTTTCACCCAATAAAATGTTCATGTTTTTCTCTAAACAGCTAAATCTTCCTACACTCTGAAAGCCTTGAATTTACCCAGGTGGTGGTGGTGCACGATTTTAATCCCAGCATTTGGGGGAGGCAGAGGCAGGCAGATCGCTGTGTTTGCAGAGCCTGGTCTGCAGAAAGAGTTCCAGGACAGCCAGGGCTACACAGAGAAGCTGTCTTGAACACTCCCACTCCCCCAAAAAGGGAAGTTTTAAACTTTAGCATGCTTAAGAATCACCTAGGTTCTTCAGTAAGAAGGCCTCTTATTCTGTAAATAACCTACATGATTCCCGTACCAGATTCTGAGGAATGGGGCTTGAAAGCCGACTGAAGAGTCGTCTCATCATGAACTTGTCCCTTCTTAGGGCAGCCCTTATCTTGTACTTATGTCATTGCCATTCTGCTTGGCGTTTGGTTACTTAATTATGTAACAAGTTGGAAGTGGTGGTACAGAAATGACTCAGCAGTTAAGAGCGCCTGAGTGCTCCTCCAGAGGACCCAGGTTTAAGTCCCAGCACCTGCATTGGTGACTCAAAACCATTGTGTGCCTCACAACCATCTGTAACTCCACAATGGTCTTGCAGGCACTGTATGCAGGTGGTGCACATACATGCAGTCAAAACACACATACACATAAAAATAATAAGGTATTCAAGAATATATATTTCTAAGGCTGGGCAGTGGTGGCACACGCCTTTAATCCCAGCCCTCAGGAGGCAGAGGCAGATGGATCTATGTGAGTTCGAGGCCAGCCTGGTCTACAGAGTGAGTGCCAGGACAGGCTCCAAAGCTATAGAGAAACCCTGTCTTGAAAAACATATATATGATGGGCGTGGATCACATGGCTACCGCTGCTGATTGACAACATTCTTGCCTTTCTGCTTTGCAGATCCCAGTTCTCCAGCACCCCTTTGCTTTCGTTTTTAATGCTTCTCATGATGCGTTACGAGAGTTCCCTTATGCCTTTCCCTTTGGAAGGTTTTGTTAGGGCTTTAAAGGATGAAAATGGATAAAATGGCTGCTTTTCTAAACAAAATAATCCTTTGGAAAAAAAAAAACCCATCACGTGAAACCATAAATCGTGATAACTGCCTGCTTCCACACAAGGTAACCCTGAACTGTTAGAAAATTCAGATAAGTAACATGCGCTTGATAAGTAAGGCATATTTGATAAATAAGATTTGTTTGATAAATAAGGTATATTTGATAATCAAGATTTACAAATTTCTAAGGTCTACTCAGGTTCGCAGTAATATTTGTCTAGCTTCGTCTTGCTCACTTTAAGCTTTAGCTATTTGGATAAACTAAGCCATACAAAAAACTGCAATATTCTATAATGGAGAATCTGGCCCCCCAAGAAAGTCCTTTTGCCAAGGTCAGGCATTTAGACAAAAGTCCCCATTCTCTCAGGGACTTGAAGAAAGCTCCTGCTCACTAAAAAAGGAGTCATTCTTATCCCTGGCGAGAGGAATTTGTGGCCCTTCCTTTAACTCGTGACTGGTGCCTATTAACTTGTCAAGGTCAGTGCTAGCTTCCTCAATCCCTCACCTCAAACTACACAGTTTACAAACCCCTTCTTCCACTTAATCTCATGTGTATAAAAGGTGTGTGTTTTTTTCTTTCTTTCCTTTTCCTTTTCTTTTTGTTTGTTTTTTTGAGACAGTTTCTTTGTGTAACTGCCTTGGCTGTCCTGGAACTCACTCTGTAGACCAGGCTGGCCTTGAACTCACGGTATTCCTTTTTCAATAATCAGGCAGTCATCCTGATTAACCCTCGGATCATGTCACATGTGTCCCCCCCCATGGACTCCATACCTCCTCTTCGGGACCTGAACCCCCTCAGAGTGCGACTCTGGCAGGACAGTTTATAATTATTTGACTTACAGCATGTTGCAAAGTAAATGAGAATTTCAAAGGTTTGCATTTGACCCAGGGCATCTGGACGAGGAGCTTGTAGATTCTTAAATCAGAAAGGTGGGGAGTTAAGATTTAAGAGGGGAGACGTACAAGTCTGCTGCTCCCCCAAGTCACAGAATTTCTGCCTGAGTGATCAAAGGCCAGGCTTTGCCTATAATCTCACCATTTAGGAGACAAAGGCAGGAGAATCAGAAGTCAGAAATTCGAGGCTGGAAAGATGGCTTAGTGGTTACAATCACAGCGCCTTCTAGGCTCACAGAGGACCCAAGTTCTGTTTCTAGCACCCAAATAGCAGCTCACAAACTCACTGTGGTTCCAGGGATCCAATGGCCTCTTCTGATGAAATCAGATGTTTTCATGGTGGTATGGCTATAGACACTGACGCCCTCTTCTGGCCTCTCCTGGCACCACACACACACACACACACACACACACACACACACACACACACACACACACACACGGCTCACATACATAAATGCAGGCAAACCACTTATAGGCATAAGAAAAACAAACTTTAAAAAGTCAGAAGTTCGCCTGGCGATGGTGGCGCACGCCTTTAATCCCAGCACTCGGGAGGCAGAGGCAGGCGGATCTCTGTGAGTTCGAGACCAGCCTGGTCTACAGAGCTAGTTCCAGGACAGGCTCCAAAGCCACGGAGAAA